GACATAGTCAATCAACCAAATACACTGCTTGTAGCTTTAGCCATGGTCCTCACTCCCAAAATTATTATCCTTTTTGTCTTATGGTAATGTTCATAACTTTCATCTTTTCAACACCAATTAATTGGCATTGTATCTCTTAAATTATTTCTATAAGGTTTAAATATTTATTTATTCTATAATTTTTAATCCAATGCAACCATTTCTTTTTTCTCTGCTTTTGCAACATACGTTAGGTATTAGAGTGGTGAACAGGACCAAGGGCTACTTCACATACACAAAGTCTAGTGGTGTAAGGGACAAAGAAACTAAACATTACGATTCAGAATAAAAAAGTGATGATGTGGTGTCTAAACTCAGGGAAGCCTTACAGAGGAAGGGCTGCCATGTGCAGTACTCCCCATTCGAGTTGTGCAAGCCGAAGTCCTTGGAGTTTTCTTGGACTCATTCTTGTCTTATGAACCACTGCAAACTTTAAAAGCCACCCAGAGCGGGCCCCATCGTCCAGCCCTGACACAGCGTCCTTGCCCTTGTACTGTCTCAGAGGTCCCTAAACTCATCTTCTGGCGCTCTGCTCTGCCCTCTGAGGTTTGTTCCCCACGTCACCACAACGACGACACTTGGAAGACATAAACTAGTCACACAGACAAAACAAGGAAACTATGGAGGACCTGAGGTTCCACCGTTCTGAAGCGAGCCCCAAGAAAGTGGGACGCTTTGGATGGCTCCCCTCGGTGACTGGAGGTGACTTCAGACCCGCAGCACTGAGTGGGTCTTGATGCAGGAGACCTGGGTTTGAATTCCAGTTTCACCCCTTCATTAGCGACACACCTTGAACAAATTATTTCAATTCTGCCTGAGCAGGCCTAGAGCTCTTTGCTCATTGTGAGGAAAAAATTCTAGAACGTCATTTCTGAGTGGAAATGCTCAGGGCTCTGTTTACCTTCAAATGTGATGCTGTAGCACTAATACAGGTCAGAGTCACTGGAAACTCAAGAGTCCTTTTCTTCCTGGGCCATCCTGACACCAAGCTCAGCCTTACCCCAGGGGGACACTTGGCTTCTGCTTCAGCCCAAACCACGTGACCAGGGGCCACCACGTTCCTCACTCTGTACCCCCTGCTCATCCAAACCCCACGGGAAACTGACAGAGAAGTCCAGCAACTTCAAAGAGACAATCACAATAATCTTCATTATCACTCATCAAAATTTCCTTTACGAAGATCTAAATGAGATTTTGCGCAGAAAGACCCAGTACCTGCCTGGCCCATGCTAATCCATGAATGCTGATTGCCTGCTCTTCTGTCTGCTCATCAAACGTGACAGCAAACACGTGCTCACTGCTAGGAGGGGCAGGCGCCCCCCACGATGACAGCGAGAAGACAGGAAACCCGGGGAACGCTTTTCTAAAATGAGACAGATGTTCTTCTCCCCCACCACAAGGTCGGTCTTTATGTTTTCATTTTTTAATCTATTTATTCCACATACATGGGGTAAATTATTTGGGGAAAGGTTGATGTAATGACTTTATAAGCCCAAAAGCTTATACTTTTGTATTAAAGCTTTTTTTCCAGCCCCGCAGAAAGCAGTTTCCCACCACTGAATGTGTTCTTTCACAAAGAGAGTATTTTCCAACGCTCCTATGACTAAGTATAAATAGAATTCTCCTTGTCCACTGCGGAGAAAAATTGAATTTTTATTTACTTGAGTGGGCATAGGCCTCACATTCTGAAATAGCAAGTTGATGATGAAATTTAAATCCTTGCTATTTTGGGTCCTTATTTATTTAACGATTCACCAGTCGTCTTTTTCTCCATGATCATTGCTAGGTGCCATCCCAAGCCCTGACACAGACAGGCTCTTGGCCTTGGTGGGCAATTTCATGTGGCAGGGCAGGCAAACAATAATGCCACTCACGGAGTTCACACACGGAGAAGAAAGGGCGTCCTGTGGATGAGGAAAGGGAACAGCTGGTCTGGACCGGGTTACTGTCCCCTCCTCCAAGGATACGTACGTCAAGCCAGAAGAAGCTGAGCTGTCTGGAAGGACGCTACTGCATGGCAACAGAAAAGGGATATAAGGAACCAGAGATGGGCAGGATGAAACAAATAGAGGAGAACTTGGGGACCACTGGGGACATGTTAGAGATGCTAAGATTGACACAAGGAGCAAGGAAAAGTGACTTTGGGGCTTTTAACAGACTTTGGGGCTTTTTTAAATACGTTCATATTTGTAACTTTTAAAGTGAAATCACTGACAGTCCACTTGCAGACTGGATGACAGCTAGGGCAGTTGAGGAAAAGAATACAGAAGATGCTATGGCAGAGGAGGCTAGAAATGAAAATATTTAGACTGGCTAGTGACCGTGGAAATGGAAAAAATAGAGTCATTCGGGGGGTGTAGGCGGTGGGGTAAACCCAGGTTTGGTAATGACAAGATGTGAACGGTGGGAAAGACAGATGTGTAAAGGGCCGTTTCCGGGGCTCTGGTTGGGATGACTAAGTACACACAGGCTCGTTCACTAGAGGAAGCAAAGAGGAAGAAGTGTGCAAGGGGATCTCATGACTCCACCTGGACGTAAGTAATTAGGGATGAACATGTGCAAGTGTCAAACGGGAACTGGATTTGATATCTGCAGCTCAGAGAAAAGCGATACCGAAGGAGAGAATGTAGATGTTGTAAGCGTGCAAACAGTCCTGCACACGGCGGGAGAGGTGAGCTGACTACCTCGGGGTGCAGGCCGAGAGTAAAAGACGGCCGTGACGCGGACCTGTGAGGAAATGACAGGAAAGGCAATACGGGTAGCAAATGTTACGGCTGGGCTGTCTGAGAAGTAGGAACACAACTAACAGAAGGCGAGGTCATAAAAAAGACGTTAAATCACTCTTCTCTCACGCCAGTATAGTTTCTGTGCCCGCTCTCCTCCCCCTACCAGTCTGCCTCTACTTCTTTATTTTCTCTATGGCATGTGGTTGAACTCATTGGAGCCTTCTGGAAATGGCATTTGAGGATCCTCCTGTAAAGGTAGCAGATATCTCTGCCCCATTTGTCTATCACTACATACCAAAGTGTCTCAAAGCATGATAACGTAAGGCAGCCCCTCACTACTACCCCCATGGTTCCGATTGCCCAGGCTCAGCCAGGTATTTCTGGATTGCAGTCTCTTATGTGGTTGTCAGACGTCTGCTGGAGTGGACCATACAGGCTTAACTGAGACAGACAAACAAAACGGATCCTTCATGGAGCTGGCGGTTTGTCAGCTGGGAGTGCAGCCCAGGCTGTCTACCAGGGTACCTACGCACAGCCTCCTCCACCAGTCACCGCCTAGCAGTCTGTGTCTCTTCACTGCAAACCCACCCTTCCACGTGCTCCTCATGATCCTGCAGCTGAGTCCTAGGTGCTGCTCTGCAATGCCAGTTCGTGGAACGGTAGGCTTTGCAATAGAGGGCACCGGGGTGATGCTGTGAGGTGGTAAATGCAGGAAAGATTTGTCTTCAGGGTCGGGGTCCTCCTTTACTGGTCAGTCTGGAGCACTGGTGGTCCTCACAGAAGAGCTCCAGCTGTGCTTTTGAACCATGGTCTCCCCAGTGGCATGCATTTCGGAGTAGCTGTAGCTGGAGGTTTTGGAAGCTCCGTCTGCACTCTCCAGCCCCACACTACCCACCAGGGCTTTGCTGCAGCTGCTGGAGCCCTTCACCTCCTCCCCTACGGCACCACCCCTGAAGCATCCTCTCTGCTCACCCCATGTCTATTTCCAGGTCACATTTTTTCTACAGTAGTCACAGTCTCTTGAAAGCAATCTAAATATCAGCATTAAGGGAAGGGCTTCCTTCGTCAATTCCTCCCCTCAGTCTAGGTGGAATTTGCACATGCAATTTCTGGACAGTTAAAATTTATGTTCATTTAAGGTCCAGAGGTTGATTCACAGTATTGAATAAGTAAAAATAAATAAGTAAAGATCATATTCACTCCTTTTAGTAGCTGAGCATCTTTACTGGTTAATAATTACTTATATCACATTTTCTCTGTTCAAATACCTTATGATTTCTGTCTCCTGCAAGACCCTCGAAGGTACACTTTTAGGTATACTTGTAGACTTCTTAGAGAAGGAGCTGCTCAAGAAACCGAGCTGAGACTCATTATGGTTAATCTGTTTCCTGTATGCATAAATCTTTCAGTTACACCACCTGGGACCACACAGTTTAAATTTCATCTCTATTCTGGCGACTGGCAAATCCACAACATGAACTCCACTGAGTTTCTACTCCCAAAAGAACTAAATCACCAGTACCTGACTCTCTAAAAATGAAAATACATGAACTACCTAGGAAGGATCTAAAAACACCTGAAATTAAATTAGCTACCTGGGCATAAATATGGACAAGGACATGAGATCATGAAAACAATATACAGCAAAATTAGAGGTACAACAATAAATAAGCAGCATGGAAAAGATCCGACAGAAATTCGTGAGTGAAAGACCACCAGGACTGAACTGGAGAATCCCATGCAGAGCGTCAAACACAGATCCCATCAAGTAAAGGAAAGGAACAGAGAGTTTGAAGACAGTTTATTTGCAATTACCTAATCAGAAGAACAGAAAGAAAACCACATACATTGAAGAAAGCCTACGGGCACCATAGAATACCATCAAACAGATGTAGATAATGTCTCCAGAAAAATAGCAAAGATCAGAAAACTTAAACAACTAACTACGTTGCACGTTGGGAAAACTTCTCAGATTTGAGAGAAGATACAAATGCTCAAATGTCTCTAATGAGTTTTACATTAATACATATATTAAGTTGCAAGAGAAAATAATTATGCCACGAACACTAATGTGGGTATCAGCAGATTTTTCAGCTGAAATCTTACAGCCAGAAAACAGTAAGAGCTGAGGGAATTCATCACCACCACTGCCTTATAAGAAATGCTAAAGGAAATCCAAGTTGGAAGAAAAAGGTGCCAATTAGTAAGAAGAAAACAGGAAAGTTTGAAACTCACTGGTAAAAATAAGTGCATAATCAAATTGAAGATTCCGTGGCACTGCAATGGTGGCACGTCACTCACTTCTTTCTTTAGTGAAAATGCTTAAAAACAAAATGATTAAATATAATAATAGCTTCAATAATTTTCTAAGGCAGAAATGCCCAACATTTTTGCATCAGAGACTGGTTTTCTGGAGGAAAACCGCGGATGCGGAGGGGGTTCAGGTGACCTCAGCTCATTCCGCTTATTGTAGCTTCATTCCCATCACGATCACACTGCACTGTCTCACACTGCAGCGTCACTGGGCGCTGAGGCCCCGAGCTTGTTTCTCCTGCACCTACACAGTCTCTTCTGGGGGCGGCGGGAGACAGTGGCCCCGATGTGTGATCTCACCCCAGCCACGCCACGTCTAAGTATAGTTCCAGTCACTCCAGGAAACCCCGCTTCACGAAGTTAGCACCTCAGCAACAGAAGCAGCTTTTCAGTGCTGTTGTGGCCGCGGCAGGACATTTCACCTTCACTTTAATCCAGGACACACGGAGGCTCGGGGCTGTCTCAGACACACTGTTAAGCCAGCACCATGTGTGATTTCAAGCAGCTGAGCCTCCTCTAGCAAGGACAACACTGATTCACCTGGCTTATTCACAGGTGGGCCCAAGGTCTCTTCCTCTCCAGCTCAGGGGTCTTTTGTGGGTTGGAAGTAACGTTCAGATTATTGGCAGCTGAGATCAGTGAGTATGCACCAGCTGGAGACGAAGGCCCAGGGCAGTCTCTTTCAAAACCAGTGCTAATGTTTGACACGTCAAGAACCTCAGCATTCTCTCTTTAGGCCCATAATTGCAGCCTCTTTCTCTGCTAACTTAGCACAGCTGTCATTCTCTCCTGAAGTGATGAGATCTGCTGAGCCCTTGGCCTCGTAACTAATCAAGTTTCATGTCCTACTCACACGTGCTCTGTGTCCATCTCCTACAGAGCTGTACAACAAATGCAAGTTAAGGGCATTAGTTTACTGTGTTGTTAATTTTAACCATGTCTTATAAAATATCGTTACGTTCAAGTGATTCTTGTTGGCCAGTCAGCATTTCTATATGGATGACACAGTGCATCGATTCATGTTCAAAAGCAACCTTGGGCCAGAGTGGTACAATCTAAAAGCTCTCCAGGCATGGCAGTTGCTGTATCTGTGAATATACCAACAACAACAACAAATAAATGACCAATTCAGTTTCTCTGATATGCAGTCATTCAAAGACTTGGATAGACCTGTAGCTTTGGTTTTGGTTGACAATAAAAGGTGTACTAACATCTCCACATCCCCATCCTCCTAAAATTATATCACACCAAAACAAGAGTTGCTGCCTTTTGCCTGTACTAGTATACTTGTAACCTGAATTGCGCGCACGATGACTCTTAACCCTAACAATTGGACCCCGAGAGGCTAAGCCAGGCCCTCAGTCCCTTTAGTTACTGTGCTACCCAGGAGAGGAACACATGTCACCTTTCAACAGCAGCATCTCTTAAACTCCATGACAAATGTCCTTGCCATCAGGCAAGATCAGTCCTCTCACCGTTAGTAAAGGACTTCTTAGCTTTTAGCAATGCAGTTAGCCATGAGAATGAGGCTCTCAGAGCAGACACATTTGATGAGGTGTGGCTCTAATGATTTGCAGAGGTTTGTCTTTTAATCAAGGGTGCTACTGTTCCATGTGGGAAAACAGTGTTAAACATTTCCAGGTTTCTTCGCACAGCAGTCGCCATATACAATATAAAACAGACTCAGAGAATACGAATCTCCAATGGCAACGAACCTGTAATAGGGGGACTTAGTAGTTAAAGTGCAGCTTTATTTTTAGAAGTCTTACAGCCCTCTGTTGCCTCATCACTGGGTCACTGGGTCTTGCTTCTTTTCAAAGAACCCTTCCAGGAGCATTTGTTCTTTACCGGGCCGGGCCCCTAACATGTGGTTCCATGAACCACAAAGAAGTTCACAGAAGGGTCTGTACTCCCAGGAGAGCCTAATGCCGCCTCTGATCTGACAGGAGGCTGAGCTCAGGGGCGACACCAGCAATGGTGAATGGCTCTCAGTACACGGCAACCTTCACTCACTGGCCGGAAACTCAATGCTGGGTTGGGCAACCCCGTCCCTCGAAGGCCGGCCCCTGGTCTAAGGCCAGGAATCCCTGTTCTAAGGAATATACAGTGTAAAAAAGATGTAAATTTCGACATCAAAAGCACAATATATAGAAGGTGGTGTAAAAGTGTTTCTGTGTCTAATGAAAGTTGTTGTGAATTTAAAAGAGCATGTTCTAACTAGGTATGTTATGTAAACCTCATGGTAACCACAAACTATGTGCAGCCATGAATAATAGAAAATGGTAAATCAAAGTATACCACTGTAGAAAGTCATCTAATCATAAAGAAAGGTAGTAAAAGAGAGAAAGGAAACAGCAGACCAAGAAAACACCCTGAAAACAAAATGCCAATACATAAGCTTTTATAATTAGTAATTGTTTGTATAATTAAGTTCTGTAATCAAAGGATGGCCATAGAATGGATAAAAGTATCAAGAAAGGAAAAAAGAAGGAAAACAATCAAGACCCAAGTCTATTTTATCTTAAGAAATAGGCAGAATTTACCTTTCTTTACTTTTAGTTAGACACATAAACTAAAAGCAAAGGAGTAGGAAAAGAGTCAGTGCAAAAGGAAACCAAAAGACAAAAGGTGTAGCTATATTTCTTATGTCACATACACTAGGCTTTAAGTCACACATACCAAAATGTACAACTAATGTCACCTTTGGAATCACATGACAATTTAATGTCATTCAAGGAGTCAGCTCATCAGGGGACAAAACAACTGTAAACATACACCACCCAGCAGCACAGCCCCTAACTATGTTAAGCACTAGGCAATTTGAAGGAAGAGAGAGACAGTAGCACAATATTAGCAGGGGACATTGGTACTGCATTTTCAGCCATTGACAGATTATCCAGACAGGAAATCCATAAGTAAATATGAGATTTAAACTACATTTTAGATCAAAGTGTTGTAACACATATATATAGAATATCCCACACGTAACAGCAAAATACACACTCAAGTACACATGAAAGAGTTTCCAGAACTCATCCTGTGTTCTGCCACAAAGTCTTCACACATTTAGGAAGACTGAAATTATATATCTTCTCTGACCATAATATTATACAACTAGAAATCAATAATATGAAGAATTTTGGAAAACTAACAAATACGTGAAATGTAAGCAACATAGTACTGAACAACCAGTGGTCAAACAATAGATTTAAAGGAACTTATAAAATAGCTTGAGACAGATGGACGTTAAATATAATATACTAAAACGTGTGCGATGCAGCAAAAATAGTTTTAAGAAGAAATTTTAGAGCAATAAATGTCTATATTGAAAAAGAAAGACTCACACAGCATAATGTCACACTTCAAGGGTAAAAACCAAGAGCAAGCCAAAATCCACATTACTATAAGAAAAAAATAACAAACTTCAGAGTGGAAATAAATAAAGCTGGGAATATAAAAACAATAGATTAGTTAAAAGTAAAAGAGAAGAGCTGTTAATTTTTTAAAAATTGACAAAACTGTAACTCGACTATGCTAAAAAGAGATTTATTTAACAAAATATGCAAGAATTTATATGCTCTTAAACTCCTTTTGTACTTGGGTTCACACTTCTGGACCAATAGAGGTTAATATTAAAGGTAAAAGGCTTATCTGTCTGACTTTGTCTGACATCTACAATTTGTTGAGCTAGTATTCATCATAGTCTATCTTTAATTTTCACTTCCTGCTTATTTAACATGACTTTCAAGTGAAGTTTATGCACCCAGGATTTGTTAATATTCTTGTCCACTTTTCCAGATTATCAAACGAGGATGCTGCGTCAAATAATAAAACCCATCTTCCTTCCTCTCCTTTGGACCAGTTAGTGTGTGTCTTAGTTACTCTGCTGTCCTTGCTGAGACATGATAGCTAATGCCCAACATTAAGGAAGGAAGGGTTTGTTTAGCTCACAGTTTGTGGAGTTTTCAGTCCACAATCAGCTGACTCCATCGCCGGGTGGCGGGGCACAGGGACAACACTTCAAGGTGGCAGAAGACAGCAAAAGCAACCAGTGAAAAGAGCAAGTCTCTTTTCCTCCCTTATATTGTACACAGGCTACCTGCCCTAGGTGGGTCCTTAATGCCATCTCCATGCCCTCTTCTTGCACAGGCTCAAGATTTCTACAAAGTGAGGCCCCTGGCCCCCTGCTGAATCACCTAGTTAAACTTCTAGACTTCTCAAGTTTACAAGTAAACCATTTCAGGGTGAGACTTCTGCTCCCTGGCTAGGAAGTACCAACACCCTCTTCAGCTGGAGACTTATAAAAAGACAGATGTTGACCCTTCCACACCCCTTAAGAATAAGGGATTAAAATCTGGGGTCAGAGTCAGGAGGAGTAATGTAGGATAGAAGAAATAAAGATGGCTAAACATTGTGCTTTTAAGAAGACTGCAACTTCGGGACACACGGTTACCCAAAGTTATCCAGAACAGCGTTCCCTAGGCTTGTGTACGCATCTCCGAGATCCATCACAGCCCAAATCCCTTAAAGATACTTTACAACCAAAAATTAGCTTACTTGGTAAAGTAAAAGACAGAGACCTGATTTTAAGGTAAAGAAATAGACAGAAGGACTTTAAGAATGTTTTAAGGAAAACATCTTAGATTGCTCATCAATAAATAAAAGTGTGTGGTGGGGCTCTTACATTTCACCTGTAAAGCAGGTCATCATCTTGAGGTGGTGGCTGCCCCTTTATCCGCTTTAAACCAAGACCAATGCAGAAATTCCTATAGATACACAAAGTCCACAGATTTCCATCACCAAAAACACATAAATACACCTCACTCCAAGCTGTAGTCCTCAGTCTGTCTCTCTCTTCCCCTCCCTCTCTCCTCTGAACTATTTCCCTGTGTACTTCTAGCTTTGTGATTAATAAATCCATTTATGCTTTGAATAAGAGAAAGAAAAAATAAGAACTAAGACTCAAAATCAGAAATCAAAGAAGGGATCTAATAATCAGTACTATAAAAACACAAAGGATCATAAGAGATTACAAGTACAGTAACCAAAGGAATGCAGACAAGTTTGTACGTTCCTTCAGACTGTCAACACCAGAAGAAACAAAAGACCTTAACACAGTAGTAATGAGTGAGGAGACGGAATCAGTGTAAAAAGTATCTGCTCAAAGACCAGGACCTGAATGGTTTCACTGCTGAATTCTACTAAACATTTATAGAACTAACTGTACGGAACTTCTAACATTTACAGAACTTCTCAAATTCTTTCAAAATTTTAAAAAGGGAATACTTTGAAATTCACATTATGAGGCCATTTTTGTTATGATACCAAAGACACTATAAGAAAAGAAAATCATAGATCAATATCCCTGATAAACATAGGTGGAAAAATCCTCAACAAAATACTGGCAAACCGATTTCAACAGTATCTTAAAACAATTATTCCCTATGATCAGAGAAGATTTGTTCCAAGAATGCAAGAGTTCTTCAACACATACCTGCATAAATGTGCTGTATTAACAGAATGGAAAAACTGTACTCATTTCAATTG